CGCTGTGACTCAACCTTTGACGAGTGAACCTCGGAGATCAGGCAGGATTCGCCAAGAGCCAACGAGATATGGATTTCTCGTGACTAGGAATGAGGAACTCATGTTATTAGAACCCCCAAAAACGACTTCGCAAGATCTGTCTAACTCATCATTGACCGAACCATGTCTAACAGTGTTCGGTTCCTCCGTTCAGACACGCCGTTCCATTGTGGCGTTCCAGGAGGAGTTAATTGTGATACAATACCACAATCAATCAGATAGTCAGTGAACTCTTGGCTCATATACTCGCCACCACGATCGGATCGAAGTGTCTTGATCGTCTTGCCAAGCTGGTTCTGTACTTCGTTTCTGAAAGCCTTGAACATTTCAAGTGTTTCAAACTTATGTCTCATTAAATAGACATAACCGTATCGACTGAAATCATCAGTAAACGTAACGAAATACAGATAACCTCCTCTAGCCGGACAGCTCATTGGTCCGCATATATGTATCAGATCCAATAACTCTATCGCTCTCTGTCCTTTCCCCTTGAAAGGATGCTTTGTCATCTTGCCCATTAAACAAGACTCGCAAGATTCAAGAGACTCAAAGTCAAATGAATCCAGAAGACCTTCAGAATGAAGGTTCTGTATGTGCTTCTCGTTTATATGGCCTAGACGACAATGCCAGAGGAAGGTCGGGTTTAAGTCGTTCGGCTTAAACCGTTTGGTACAAACGTTATAGATTGACCTGTATCTAGACGGTTCGTCATCCAAAACATAAAGGCTATTAAACTGGTAACCTTTACCATACGGGTTTTGTCATGTACACATCCTCGGTCAAGTTCCCGTTAAGGAACGCGGTCTTGACATCCATTTGCCATATCTCATAGTCGTAATATGCGGCTATGGCAAGTAGGATCCTGATGGACTTCAGCATAACTACGGGCGAAAAGGTCTCATCATAGTCAATACCATGAATTTGACGGAATCCTTTTGCCACAAGTCGTGCCTTATACGTGTGCACGTTGCCATCCATGTCGGTCTTCTTCTTGAAGATCCACTTGCATCCGATGGGTTTTATCCCTTCAGACGCATCAACCAGAGTCCATACTTGGTTGTCTGACATGGATTACATCTC